TCTTCCTTCTCTTCTCCTCTTCTCTTCTTCTCTTCCCTTCTTGCTTGGATCCCCTCTTGTGAAGAATGAGAGCTCTATTTATAGATTTTCTCGAGTGGCATAGCTCGTAAATAGGCGTAAGATCAGGGGCGAATAGGTAGTGGTTTAATGGACGGTCGATATCAAATCCTACGATCATGCACAGTTTGTTGGACATTTAAAGGTCTTAGATATGTCAAAATTTGACAATCTTAGGCTTTTTGGATTTGTCTCGTCGAGCCGTTCGATTCGAGTATAAGCCCATTAAAATCAGAGACCATTTGGTATCTCAAATTGCGGTTTGACCTTCCAACAGCGCATCGGGTCCATGATTCGGACCCATTTGAGCTCGGATTGGGTTAAACTTGGTGTCGATGGGTTTGTATTTCCAAGACGCTTATCGAGCCGTTCGATTCGAGTATAAGCTCATTAAAATCAGAGACCATTTGGTATCTCAAATTGCGGTTTGACCTTCCAACAGCGCATCGGGTCCATGATTCGGACCCATTTGAGCTCGGATTGGGTTAAACTTGGTGTCGATGGGTTTGTATTTCCAAGACGCTTAGTTTGACTATAAGATCGCTGAAATTGGAGTTCGGGTGGTGCTTCCGGATTTAATTTCTGAAGTTTCCAACTAGCTTTTGCCTCGAGATTCGTGCTTGATCAATATAATTTTTTGAAGATGTATCAGTTGCCCCCTATTTTCGGATGTCGTAGCTTCAGGAGTCCGAAAATATATGTGTCGACATTTCATATTAGCTAAATCATAAAAAATTTCATTCAAAAATTAAAATTTTGCTCCAACTTGATTATAGAGGCCCCGTTGAGCTCCGAAAATGTCAAAATTGAGTTCGGAACGTCGAAAAACTTTTTTGAGGACCCCAAAAATGTTTAATTTGAACTGTTCGGTATGAAAATAGAGAATGAAAGATCTGCTACAGTAACGGTCATGCACAGTCACGGTTTGCTACAGTAACCGTTGCTACAGTGCCACTATTACATTAGTCGTTGCTGCAGTACCGTCATCTACAGTGTTTTCTGCAAAATCATTTTTTCCTTTCAATTATGTTCGCTACAGTAGTTGTTGCTACAGTAACCAGCACTTTTTTGGGAGAGTGGGAGATAGAGACTCCCCTTTCTTCCTATAAATAGGCCACCCCTTGGACCTAATTCCTTGCACCTTCTCCTCTCCCTCTGTCCTTACAATTGAGGCTTTCCCTTGGTCCTCCAAGGCCCCTCTCTTTGCAAGGAAATTCGGAGATTCCCCATACTCATTCCAACACCCTTAGGAGAAATGTCGGGTGATCGCCTTCCACCGAGAGATCCTGTGATCTAGGGAGCTCCCATCCCACAGTATGATTGCGAGTAGAGGCCAAATAAGGATGCAAGGGTGGATGAAATAGCATCGACTGTTACAAATGACTTCATATTCCTTTTTCGCAAGAATTATCATTTCTCGAATGATGTGAAGACGATGGTCCCTAGGAAGTCTGATCGGGCTAGTCATCCTCTCGGGTACTTGACCATTTCTGAGACCCCCTTGCGGGCTGTGTTAGGCTTTCCACCTCTTACCGAGTTGATTGAAGTTTTACAACATTGTGGGGTGAATTTATCCCAATTTTCATTCAGAGCAATGTCGGTGACTGTGGGATTGATTGCTCGTTTCAGGGATCGAGGAGCTACTTTGACACCAGAGCATCTTTCACGGATGGGTCGATTTACCAGTGACACGCATGGGCGTGTAACCTTCCGATCCAAATGGTTGGATGTGCGTACTCTTGATCCTTCAAATAATTGGACCAGTGCATTCTTCTTTGTGAAGAATGATT